ATCTTGGTGGCCCTCCTCTGGACCTGCTCCAACAGATCCATGTCTTTCCTGTACTCAGGACCCCAGAGCAGAGCAGAGGAGAAGAATCTTCTCTCTCAATTTGATGGCCGTGTTGCTTTTGATGAAGCTCAGGATAGGGTTGGCTTTCTGGGCTCCAAGTGCATATTGTTGGGTCATGTCCAGTCTCTCATCCACAAGCACACTCAGTCCTGATCAGGGCTGCTCTTGAATATTTGCTGTGGAATACTTACCTACTGAGAAATGTTACATTTTGGGGGAAAAATTATCACAGGATTAGTTGAGTGGTTTCCTTTTTCTTTTTTTTTTCTTCCCCCCCTCAGTATCCGTTCTTAATGCATATTTGGATTATGATTCAGTATAATTCCTTTTTTGCCATTAAGCCAGACATGTACTCATTTTACTGCTTGTGCATTTACTTTTTCCAGTCTAAGCACAATAGTTTGTGCTTTTATTTACTGCACTTGTCGGAATTCCAGATTATTTTCTCCAGCTGCTGAAGACAATTTTGGACTCCAATCCTGAACTTACCAGCTTCCATCAGGAGCCTGGCACTCTCCATCTAGGTGTCATCCAAAAACTTGGTATATGTATACTCTATTCTATCAGGTACAGTGCCAATGAAAATTTAGAGTAGCAATAAGAATGGAACAGACTCTTACAGATCCTGACTTCTTGTGATCTTTTGTTTTGACAGGAAACCATCAGCAACTATTTTCACTACAGTTCTTCAATCTGTTGTGCAACCAACTTTTAATAATTTCACTTGGACCATATTCCCCTACTTGCTTTACAAGACTGTCACATAGGACTTTACAAACCCTTGTTAAAGCCAAAATACATCACAGCTATTTATTCCCTATTATCCATTAGGCCAATTACCCTGTCAAAGGAAAAAAATTAGATTGGTTTGACATGATTTGTTCTTGACAAATTCATGTTGACTGTTTCTTATTGCCTTATTATACCCTAGGTGCTTACAAATTGATACTTTAATCATTCGTTCTAGATGTCAAGCATAGCCTAAATAGGATATAAGTCCTTTGATCCTGCTTCTTTCCCCACAAAATTTAGAACCACAGTAAAATACTGCAGAGCTATATTGCATCCTTATCCTCAAAAAAATTCTTCACTGTTGTTTAACTGCAAGAGCACTTTTTGAACTCTGATGGCTTCATACAGTTGAACTATATGTCAATTCAGTGATACTTTTTTTTATAGAGATGGAGAAAAACAAGGTAAAAAACAACAAATAAGGACTGATGAGAATTCAGCTCCTGATTTTCAGAGAAATATTATTGTGGTTGCTATTTAAGTAAAACAATAATTTCTGGCTAACATAATTGGAAATATTTTTACAGTGTATCAGAATGAAATTCAAATCCTGTGAACACATCAGAACTCTGTCCAACCTTTCTTTAAAGGCAATCTGAATCATCACTCAGCCATCTGCATTAACAAGAGGGAAGAAAAATAGATAACCCCTTTGGAAGAATTGACCTTGTTGATAGATATCAATAACTTGATAACTTCATCAAATATTGAAATCAGAAATGTGGGCAAAAGAAGATGAAATAGTCAAGACAGGAAAATTTAGTAAGTGCTTTCTTTTTCTCTTTTTCCCAAGCCATTAGCAGAAAATTTACTTCTACAGCTACCTATAGGCACATGAGTTATCCTACTGAAGTCAGCTGCACTTCATTTTACAGGGTACTTTTAGTAGATATTTAATGTGAAGCATGCATTTAACAGTTCTTCTGACCTGGTGCAATACCTCTCAGCAGCTGCCAACATCTAAATGACAATACAGGCACTTGCACCCAAGCACATCTGTAAACGTTTTGCCCTGTACCGGATGCACAATGTGATTGTAGATGTTGTATATAGATTTCCCTGAATGAAAAAAAAAATGGACTCCACAGAACCTACCTCTACTGTTCTAATGTCTTTTCTCAGCATGGAGAGGCTTTGGTTATTTACTCTTTCCTCCCTTCCCTTTTGTGAAAAGATTTATTTTAAAAAGAAACACTGAACATAAAGCTGTCATGAAGATTTATAGAAAACTCCTTTACAAAGAAGCTAAATGATTTTAGACTATTGTATTGCCTTTTCTCATTTTTTTTAAAATGTAATTTTGATACCATGTAACCTGAAAAAAAGCTCTGCTGCTCCTAAAGAAATCCATATCAAAAGGGAGAAAATTCTGTATTCTCTGCAAAAATGAAAAGTCTCACAGACCAGTTTTATTGTAAACATTTTCATAATATTGCTGTGCAGCAGATAAATGGAATTTCTATTCATTACTTTCTGATAAATCCTATCTCCAGCATCTAAAAGTAGAGACATATTGGTAGAAGAGACACAAAGCCTAGGTTTCTAGACAGAAAAGGTATTTATTGTTGTTATGGATTTAAATCATATTCAATAAAATATGATGAAAATGAAAGGTATGAATATTGAGTAAATGAAAAAATTTTTATGATAGTAGGAGAAAAACATAAAATGTGGGTGCTTGCCATTCATATAGTAGAGTTATCAAAAAATGATAGCTAACAACTCTTTTTCTTCAAAGCAATCTTTTCTTTGAGTCTCAATATTAAATCTTTAGTTTAGCACATTGTTGCTTTATACACTGGTGGACATTTCAGAATTACCTAAGCAATGGAGGAAATAGCTCTGCCTATTCCTCTCACATTGCAAAAAAACATTCTTAAACTGAAATGGAACTGTGACTACATCTCATGTATTGAAAAACCTCAGCAGAGCACTTTGTGATTTTCAGTAGTAATAACTATAAGCACTGGAATGAGAAGAGACCATCATAAAGATATCCACAAATCGCTTCTGTGTGGTAGAAAAAAGGGGAAGAGATATCATCCCAGGTTAATCAATGGACAACTTTCGGATCATAATCTCTCCATCAATCAGCGACACTGGAATTGCTTTAAAAATTAGGTGAATATTAGAAGTGGAAAGTGAAACATACTCATCAAGAAGGTCTCCCCCTTCCATAAAGTTAATATTGATCTACTCTGAGAGGAGGGCATTAAAACAACCTTCTTCTGAGTAGTGTCGGTTATTTGGAGTTCAAGCCTCTAACACCTGAAGGTGTGAAGGGACAGTTAAATATCTGCTTAACAGCTTGTCTTCCAAGTGTTTTCTGTGAACAGCTTAAATTAATAAATTTCTTCTGAAACCAGCTTTTTGGACACCATGGATGACTCTGAAAATGGCCACTGCTTCTTTCCCCTCTCTTTTTGGAATACTTTCTAAGAGAGCCAGAAAAGGAACAGTATGGGACCATAGCAGTCCTCTGAGTAAAAAGTATCAGTATGCACTGATAACTTGTTTGTTTCTCTGTAGAAGCATTTTTATTTCAGACATTTTATTCTGGAAAAGGTCTAACGCCTGTCAGCTGGAAAATTTTCCACTCCATATATCAATCCGAGTTGTGTAACTGCTAATGACTAAGTCATTTTAATGATGTGTTCATCCTTTCTTTTGTCTGGATGTTTTTGCAGGCTAACGAATGGTATACCCTCTTTGAAAGGAGATGTTTCACTCTGGTATGTTACACTAAAGCGTTTGATATCTCTTGTAGCTATATACTGTGTATGATTCAGTGTGACATGCTTTTTCCTAAGACAAAGCTGAAAATTGTGATAAGTTGGGCTGCTCAGTCGGTGAGATCCACTGTAACCCAGAAGCCTCCATCATCCCCTCCTCATGAATGACTCAGTATCCACAGTCCTAATTCTGGCATCTGGCTTCTAAATGGAAGAGCCTAATTTGACTCCTTTATTTCTATCTGTGAGGGACATGACGACTCCAGAGAGGGTATTATCCTTCCTTGTACCACTCTTTGAAAATTATGCCAATATTATAAGAGGAAGGTGTCCATTCAGTAGGTGAATTAGAAAATCTGGAGTCATCAGTAAAATTAAATATGTGATGCTGACTGGTCTGGAAATTGTGACTGAGATCTTGTTTAAATTATTTCTGAGGAATAAAAAGCTAAGTGGCATGAAAAGAGCTGTATTATTTTCTCCCTTAGGAGGGCAATCTTTAAAATTAGGCTTCAAAGTTCAATTTAAGTTTTTGACAAGATCATGGCTTTAATAAATAACCAATAAACTAAAAATAGTACAAACTGTACATAAATATCTGCCTACAGAGAAGCAGGAGCACACAAGAATTATTTCACTTCTTCCTATGACTGGCATGAGGAAGGACCCTAGTGGACACTTTTGGGTTTGACCTTACTCTAAATTCAAACATTTTTATTCTGACAGAAGTAACTTCCATTAGTAAAACAGTAAATTAGTAAAACAAGTAGTGAGTGGGGAAGATTAATTTCCACTAGCCATGGCCCTGTCAAGAAACTTCCTGAAGAGACTAGAATAGCAGAAGGAAATATATTGTACTATGTCAGGTTTTGCCTGTACACACAATGACCCTGAGAAGGAAACAGAAGAGTTAAAATCTCAGGCTTTTCTCTGACATAACAGGTGTCACTTGTGATGTTAAGGAACATCACAGCACAGCTTCCTTGGGTAATTATTGGTTTCCTCTTTGTATTAGGGACCATTTCTAGTTCAGCTTGCTCTGTTTCACTGCTGCAGGAGTGAGAGAAGGTAAAGAAGGAGCCAGTTGAAGGTACATAGGTACTGGTAGAAGAATTAGGATCCAGCAAATATATCAACCTTATTAGCAGTAATGGATCAGTCAATTTTTCCTGTTTACGCTCTGTGCAGCACAACTGAAGTTGATGAGCTTGCAGGGATATATTGGCAGAGAAAATCTGGCCGGGTGTATAAACACTGCCAAGCAATTGTGCTTATTTGAAACATCCTACAACCTTTTCATCTGCTGAGCGACAAACTGAATTCACAACGTTTCATTTAGGTTCAATTTATGAAAATTATGGCACATACTAGAAGATAAGCACATATTTCTAATCTGATACAAAACGATCGACTTACATCAGAATTAAATCTCAGCTGGCAAATGTTGCATGATATGATTTGCTTTCTTCGATGAGGAAGAGGAACTCCAAATGTATGATTTATTACAGCTTTTTGAATTGGGTCCATCTGTAAAGAGAAAAGAAGAAAAATGAAAGCTTTTGCTGTTCCACTGTGTGCTATATTATCTATAATTTCAAAACAGATATTGCATCATGCCATACCATGCCTCACACTACAGAAAAACTATTATTTTTCTTTGAAAATGAATATTTCTTCTTCATACAGTTTTACAAGGAGGTAATGAAAAAGGAACAAAGAAAAGTGTCATTAGCTGTCTTGAAATGGATATCCTTGTTTCAATTTTGTATGTACCAATCTCCCTTTACTGAAGAAAGGTAAAAGCTGTGAACGCTGAAAAAGTTTACCTATCAAAACACCAATTTAAGATTTTTATATCATAGAAAATCTAGTTTAATAAATGAAACAAGAACATTTAAAATAAAATTACTATCAAAAGGATTAATGGAAATGTGAAGGAATATAATATTCAAATAATTCCAGAATAGCATGCAATAGCTCAGTATCATGAAAAAAATAATAATTTCCCATGAACCAATAAATTAATCTCTTCCATGAAACAACATCTACACAATTTATGAAAAAATCCAAATCCTCCAAAGATTATTTTCACTATCATTTAGAGGAAACTATTGTAAATAAAATCTAATTTAAGGATGAATTTGGACTTTTATGAAAAAGGTTTTTCTGAGCTAATTTCTACCAAAACACTGATCTGATAGTGTCTGCAAGTAAGGGTCCTTATGAAAAAGTGTACCATTTTGGCAGAGAATTTTACAAAAACTACTCAAAAGACTGTTTTACGTGGATGATTGAAGTCAACTTCCCCAAATGCATTGATCAAAATTATTCATATTTCTTCCTCACAAGAAGCATTTGAAAGCTACTTTAAAAATCTTGTAATAGCTGTACAACAATTTTGTTAAGCCACTGAGAGTTTTTATCTTTAAATAGTTAAAAATTCACAGATTTTGCCTAATTCTGATAACCAGTATTCACGCAGTATAATCTGTATGTGTCCTGAAAAAAAACCCATCTTTTTCCATGCTCATGTCTCCATGATTCACTATATTCTAGTCTGTTAGCAAAGGGTTATTTGATAAAAAAAGAATCAGAGCTTTTCCTTAGAGTAATCAATTATTCATGAAAGCTGTAATAGTAGACAGTCATGGCCTCTATTGCAGTGAATCCACAACAGATCACTACGGAATTTCTGCATCACCTGACAGCTGTTCAGTGTCAGATATGAAACAGGTCTTTAAAATAATTCCTGTTGAAAAGAAAATCAGATTGGTTTAAAAAAAAAAAAAAACCAACTCCCCCAACACACACCCACAAAAAGCCCAAATGAACCAAGGCAAAAAGGAGAGCTTTATAGGACAGTCTGGAAGACATGCTCAGTTTGAGCGTCCTCTTCCATTTGAAGTGAAAGTGAAACACCTCATACATTTATGCAACCATCTGCATAAAAGAACAACAATCCCACCTAGAATATAGGGATTCCACTGTAACATAACCCCAAAATAACACTGATAGCTAAGGTGAGAGTATATCAAGTGCTGAAACACTACAACATGCTGTGTAAGACTTCCTGCAGTGATGAAATCATGTGTTAGAAACATTCATTTTACTGAGTAGCGTGATCTTGAAAAAGCCCACAGTCCAAAAATACTATTATATAGACCAGGAAGAAGACCACTACATAGCAAAGTAAATAAATAGTAAAAGCTCTTCCTTTTTTTTTTTTTTTTTTCCAGCTAGATGAATAGACCGGTATCTCGCTATTTTCAATACTAAAGCATGATGTGGTCTTAAATTTCACTACTGCTGAAGTTTGGAGAAATTCTGTTCCTTTTGCCACTGCAGGTCTAAAATACTTAGGGAAACCTCAAGTTCAAATATATGAAAAAGTTAGCACACAGTAACAAGAAATTGTGCATTCTTTGATCAAGTGTAACTGTTTGACTTCACATTAACCAGAGCTGTGAGATGCTTTAAAGAACATCTTTGTTGACTTTCTTAATTTATGGCACTTGTGAGATAATGTGAGGTAATAGCCTTTAGTGTTAATACATGTCTTTTCACATTATCTCACAAGTGCCATAACTCCAGAAAGCAAATAAAGAAACACTCCAAGGGTTAAATGAAAGGTTCCACCATGGTTAATAAGATGAAACAACTGATTTTTTTTAATCGGATTTACCCATCTTCAAAGTAAGAATTTTACCTACAAATGAGCTCAGATTTCTTGGGCAACTGATGCTTACATATTGTGAATGAGACAAAAAATTTTTTAGAATTAAAAAAAATCATGAATGTATAGAATACTTGTTGTATGTTACACTTACTTTTATTTTGGCCTCATGGAAAACTGTGGAGTTTCTTTCCTAATCACTCCACAGATTTTCTCTTATTTATCTGCTTATATGGAAACCCACCTGTACCTTTCCTTTTCAGTTTCTAAAGATATAGACTTCTAGATATAAAGCTACATGGTGTTACTGTGAATAGGATGATTTGTGTTTGTGGCTCTAAATGAAGAAGAGTTCTGGATAGCTTTCAAACTGATTAAGAAAAGCTGCTTCAAAATAATAAACCCTTCTCTGCCAGTTCATAAAAACATAAACTGTTTGGATTGGAAGAGACCTTAAAGATCATCTCTTTCCAACCCCCATGTCATTGGCAGGGACACATTCCACTAGAGCAGGTTGCTCACAGTCCCATCCAGCCCGGCCTTGAGCATTTTCAAGGATGGGAGAATTGTTGTTTGATACTGCAAAGCACAGCTAAACTTAAAAACTTAACCCCAGATTCTAATAAAGTTGGGGCAGAATACTTGTGGAGTATTTTACATTATTATTTCTCCTTGAAGATTTTGTTTGGGAAACATCGCCATTCCATAAGTTCCAAATAAACATCAAAAAAGCACCAGATAAGCCTCCAGAAGTTTTATGCAGGAAATCTTAGAGAGGTAACAGGATACTTTGGTGCAGCATGATAAGGATTAAGATCTCACAGATATTGAAGACAGAGAGAAGGCCTGCTGAGAGTCAGAGGAATAAAGAGAGGTAGCTGATTGCAGAAAATAGAGAGCAAGGATTGCAGGGAAGTATAAAGGGGGAAATAATATCATATAGCTGAGATAATCAGCAAGTGGTGAGATACTTAACATAATCTCCAGGCACTTCTAGGCTCACTGAACATTGCTAATTACACATATAAATTATATTTCAAATTCTGTAAGTGGTATTCAATTTCAAAATAAAAATTGTCATGATAAACTTTGATAAAATTTGCTTTTTACTCATTGCTAGTGCTATATTACAATTGCTGGATTTTATTTCTTAGATGAAACTGATTTAATTTACTCTCATTTACAGTGAAGGACAGAGAGATTTGCAATTCACATGAGAGATTATCATTCAACTTTCAAAGCTGTGCAGAAGACCAAGGCTGGCAAGATGTCCCTTTACTTCCTCTCCATAATGTATTTGCACTGGCAGTTACAGCACAACAGCTGCTATCCTTGAAGGCCTATTTGTTTAGTGCAGAACCTGGGATGGTATATTTTGCCTACAGAGAAATCTGATCCTTTGGAAAGGTAAATTTTCATATTTTCCACAAATAATTTCTCAGTGTTACCTTTATTTGAGTGTGTGTGAAGAATTGTTTTACACTGAAAATGAAATTAAAACACATAGCTCTTCCTGAATTTCAAGTAATTTTTAATATGTCTAATTTTTCGTGGTTGTTTTTCTGTGATTTCTTATCCCAGAGGTATAAGAATATGCCTAAGTTAAAAACAATAACAAGCCAATAGCAAAGGAAAACATGCAAGTTTGACCCGCAAAGGTTCAAATCACAAAAAGATATAAATCCAAGGGATTTTTTTTTAAATTATGTATTAAAACCAAGAGGCATGACATGAGAATTTCAAATGTTTACAGTTTGCAGTAAATTAATGGAAATGCACTAATGTCTATAAATAAAAGCATCCAGGTCAAAGGATGAAGATAACACGGATTCCCAGAGCCTGTTCAGAACATATGGTAGGCCTAAAGCAATCAAAAAAGTAAAGAAAGTATTTTTACCTCAAAACCAAAAAAATTAGCTGGAAAAGATTGTCTCAGATCACTATGGTCTTACACTAAGTGAGTAGAAAACCATGTCAGGTCATTGAAGATCTCAGGAAAAAATTGCTGTAGACCATTTTAGTGGTAATTAAAAAAAAAAATACCCACATAAGGAAAGACTTCCATTACTTGAACAGCTAAGTGAATTTAGTGACCCAGGTACCAACACCCCTCAGATCTTCTTAAAATTCAGATGCTAACATATTCAATAATAATATTACAATGTACTTATTTGACTTAATTTTGTACTTACTCAACTTAATTTTGTATTTACTCTCAAATGTGTTTGTAGAAATGCAAACCTATGGCAAGAAACCATACTCGGAATATAAATAATCATATATATATAAATATAATAATTATATAGAATTACTCATAATATAATTCCCTTAATGCTATTTTCATTGTAACACTGTAACATTGCATTGTGTTAGCATTGTAACGTTGATAAAAAGATAAAGATAAGTCAGTGGGAGCTCCTTTCATTCATTCTCTTACATTACAACAAACAGTGAAACTTGTAAGAGCATTGGACACAGTGTAAATCCTGCACCAAACTTTGCCATTACCAAGCAAAAACTCTAAAATATTATTGTGTCCTCCACAGTTCATAATTATTGGTGAACTTGATCCATTTCTAAAACTGCCCAGTAGATGCAGTTTTAACACCTACCAGTTCAAACATAAAACTGCCTGCTTGATTATAATTCTGCCATACTTGTAGAAACACAAAAAGGTTAAGCTGTAGGGATGTTCCTCAATGGCATAAAGTCACCATCATTTATAGCCTGGGGACTTTTAGAATCAGAAATTTTCTCATGGAATAATTTATCTATTTCCGACTGAAAACTGAGTAGTTCCTCTGTGATCTCAGTGGCATCAAGAATTCACAGTCATTTCCCCTGCAATCATGCT